ATCTCGGCCGACTTCGAAGACGTCGGCCGCACCAAGTAGTGTCATTAACGATACTTTGGGATATTTGGGGCGGCCGACGTCTTCGAAGTCGGCCGAGATTACTTCTTATATCACGAACCTAACTCAGGGCGGCCGACTTCGAAGACGTCGGCCGAGATTATTTCTTATATCACGGACATAACTTGGGGCGGCCGACGTCCTGGAAGTGATCTCAGAATCCTAAGGGATACCATTAACAACTTTATGGAAGAAATAATCTCGGCCGACTTCGGAGACGTCGGCCGCCCCAAGTTAGATTCGTGATATAAGAAGTAATCTCGGCCGACTTCAAAGACGTCGGCCGCCTTGACTTAGGTTCGCCATATAAAAAGTAATCTCGGCCGATTTCGAAGACGTCGGCCGCTTCAAGTACCATGAACAATACTTAGAGCGGCCGACGTCTTCGAAGTCGGCCGAGATTATTCCATTAACAACTTTATGGTAGAAATAATAAAAAAAAATTCATGGTACTTGGAGTGGACATCTTCGAAGTCGGCCAAGACTATTTCTTATATCACGAACATAGCTTGGGCAACTGATCATAACTTGTTAGATCTAGTTTTAATTGTTAACAATCAAAAAAAAATGAAACTAAATATTTGGTATGTTATTGGATCTTGTGTTATTTTAAAACTGTTTACAAACAACTTGAATTACTTCTCTTTCAAAAACAATTAGAATTTTGTTATCTTAATCAATTGAAACCGAAGAATGTCCGTGTTTATGAAATGTTATATAATAAATTTAGAAAATCACCTACTTTGTTTAACTAAAAACGGAAAATTTATTCCTGTTGTCCGTTATATTTAGTTTTCAAATTAACATTAATCACCTATATTTGCTTGTGTTTTAAAAGAGTTCATTTGATTTAATTTTTTTTTATAGTACTCGTGGTTATCTGGATTTATGCCATTAGCAGCTCTTGTAGGAGCATTAATTGGAGGTCAATTAATCGAATTTATCGGAAGAAAATGGACAATAGTAGCAACAGCTGTAATGTTTGTAATATCATGGATACTAACGGCTTTAGCCACAAATGTTTACTACATGTACATCGCGAGAGCCATCGTTGGTTTAAGCGTGGGAATAGCATCGTTAACTCTTCCGGTGTATTTGGGTGAGACGATACAACCGGAAGTCCGTGGAATATTAGGTTTATTGCCGACTGCTTTCGGCAATATGGGAATTGTTTTATGTTTCACGGCTGGGAGTTATTTAACTTGGTACCAACTTGGATATTTAGGAATCGCACTTCCAGTGCCATTTTTAATATTGATGTTTTTTATTCCGGAAACGCCAAGATGGTATGTATCCAAAGATAAAGTTGAAGATGCAAGAAAAGCGTTGCAATATTTACGAGGACGTGAAGCTGATGTACAAAAGGAGTTAGATGACATCGAAAATTCTCATCAAGAAAGCGTTAAATTGTCGTCCCATTCGCATCTTTCCGATATATTTAAAAAAGCTAATTTAAAACCTTTGGTTATAGCGTTAGGTTTAATGTTTTTCCAACAATTAAGTGGGATTAACGCAATTATTTTTTATACGACACAAATTTTTGAATTAGCTGGATCATCGATTCCATCTCATATTTGTACTATTATTGTAGGTGTAGTTAATTTTATCGCAACATTCATAGCTACTATATTAATAGATAAAGTTGGTCGCAAAGTATTGTTATATATATCTGGATCTGTGATGACTTTAACTATAATTATTTTAGGAATATATTTCTATTTATTAAAGAATTACGATGAATTAGTAGAATCAATTGGTTGGTTACCCCTAACTTGTTTAGTTTTGTACGTTCTCGGGTTCTCGTTAGGTTTCGGACCCGTACCTTGGTTAATGTTAGGTGAAATTTTACCCGCTAAGGTTCGAGGTTCTGCAGCGTCAATTGCAACCGCTTTTAATTGGGCTTGCACATTTATTGTAACCAAAACATTCCAAGATGCTTTAAACGTTCTTGGGGAATCACTAACGTTTTGGATATTCGGCGTTGTATGCTTAGTATCCCTAATATTTATTTATCGATACGTTCCGGAAACGAGAGGAAAAAGTTTAGAAGCGATCGAAAGAAAACTTGCCCGCCGACCATCCACCATAAAAACACCTCCTTCCGTAGTATAAATTAATTAATAACTAGCTCAGATCAAGACTATTAAGACAAAACTCGCCGCCTTTTAATGGGTTCTATTCCGAATCTCAAGTTCGTGACTCGAATCTCGACAATTTATATTTTAATTGTTATTATATTTATGATATTTATATTTTTCATAGTTTTTTTATTAGATAAATTAGAAAGTATTTTGTAAATATATACCTTTATATGTAAGAAAAAAATTTATAAACACTTTTTTTTACACTAAATAAAAACCAGTGTGTTTAAGGCTTTTATTTTTTTTTATAAACATTACCTAAAATAACTAAAATACGCCTATTATGTCTGAAACAACAGGACCTTTACCTTGAAAAATAGAGACAAGAGAAGATGAATCCAAAACTCGTTACGCTAAAAGATTCCCACAGACAAAAATAAAATCATTTTAGGATCAAGTATGTATTTGAACTTATATATATTGCAAGTCTAATTTAATAAGAATCGTGTTTACTTTAACAATTAAATTTCATACTTCGTAACCCATTACAAGTGCAATAATCGCGACATTAAAGTACAACACAATTTATAATTAACTACGGTTGACCGCAAAGTGTGTTGCGCTATTAATGAAATGTCTTCAAGAAGGAGTTTCGTTTGTGGTGCGACATTAAAAGAAATTAATAAAATTCGGGATTGTTTTTATAAGATAAAACTTTACTATACATATATATAGGTGAATTTTTTTCAATGTTTAGTATAATGAATTTGAAAATTAGCAAATTAGAAAATTCTTTTATTTACGGTATTAATTTTTGAATTATTGCCCAAATGAGAGTTTCTATTTTCTAACGAAAATCTTTATCAATCAAAAAGGTCAAATAACTCAAGAATTGAACCGTACTTAATCATTTGAAGCACCAAAACTTCCCAAATTGGGTTTTGGTAAGGTTTAAAGAAAATTCTCATCGAAAAATCATCTTAAGCTTGCTTTTTAATGCTTTAAGAGACTCCCTTATAACCGCAAAAAGTGACTGTGTAGTGTAGATTTCATGCCGGAGGTGTATATTTCTTATATATCGTGATATAAAAAAAAATCTCGGCCGATTTCGAAGATGTCGGCCGCCCCAAGTGCCATGAACATTATTTAGGGCGGCCGAGATTATTCCATTAACAATTTTATGGTAGAAATAATCTCGGCCGACTTTGAAGACGTCGGCCGCCTCAAATTAGGTTCATGATATAAGACGTAATCTCGGCCGCCCCAAGTACTACTAAAATTTATGGTAGAACTAATCTCGGCCGACTTCGAAGACGTCGGCCGCCCCAAGTTAGGTTCATGATATAAGACATAATCCATTAATTATTCCATTAACAAGTTTATGGTAGAAATAATCTCGGCCGCCCCAAGTTAGGTTCATGATATAAGACGTAATCTCGGCCGCCCCAAGTACTACTAAAATTTATGGTAGAACTAATCTCGGCCGACTTCGAAGACGTCGGCCGCCCCAAGTTAGGTTCATGATATAAGACATAATCCATTAATTATTCCATTAACAAGTTTATGGTAGAAATAATCTCGGCCGCCCCAAGTTAGGTTCATGATATAAGACGTAATCTCGGCCGCCCCAAGTACTACTAAAATTTATGGTAGAACTAATCTCGGCCGACTTCGAAGACGTCGGCCGCCCCAAGTTAGGTTCATGATATAAGACATAATCCATTAATTATTCCATTAACAAGTTTATGGTAGAAATAATCTCGGCCGCCCCAAGTTAGGTTCATGATATAAGACGTAATCTCGGCCGCCCCAAGTACTACTAAAATTTATGGTAGAACTAATCTCGGCCGACTTCGAAGACGTCGGCCGCCCCAAGTTAGGTTCATGATATAAGACATAATCCATTAATTATTCCATTAACAAGTTTATGGTAGAAATAATCTCGGCCGCCCCAAGTTAGGTTCATGATATAAGACGTAATCTCGGCCGACTTCGAAGACGTCGGCCGCCCCAAGTGCGATGAACAATACTTAAGGCGGCCGACGTCTTCGAAGTCGGCAGAGATTATTCCATTAACAATTTTATGGTAGAAATAATCTCGGGCGACTTCGAAGGCGTCAGCCGCCCTAAGTATTGTTCATGGTACTTGAGGCGGCCGACGTCTTCGAAGTCAGCCGAGATTATTTCCACCACAAAGTTGTTAATGGAATAATCTCGGCCGCCACAAGTTAGGTTCATGATATAAGACGTAATCTCGGCCGCCCCAAATATCATGAACAATACTTAGGGCGATTATTTCTTCCATAAATTACAAGTAGGGTTCCTTATGGTTTTTGAAAAAAAAAAATTAAACCAAAATTTTCCGCCATTTTTGGAGGGGTGTAGCTCCTTAGGGGAGCCGAAGTCGCCCATGGTTCATTTTTCAAAATACCCTTAAAATTCACTAAAGAATCGCGCCTTGAAGTTTGTTGCAGTCATTCAGATACAGCCTGTATATTAGTTCCCGCAAAATAGCCAAGGTTCTAGCTGACATGTTTGAAAAAGAGATGCTAAAATGCGTAAGAATGATGTTTCTATGGGATACTTTTACATAATCTTCTCTAATTTCCAACCATACTAAACATTGAAATATACACACCTTGTATTTGTACATATATGTATGTGTATATATATATTCCACAGGAAATTTCAATTTTATCATCTACATACCTCCAAAGTTACTTTCTCCTTCTTATAAAACGAAAAATACACTTCAAAATTAAAAAAAAATTGAAAATTAAAAAAAAAATTGGTGTAAATATAACCTAAAAATATACTTACCCATTACTTGTACGCGACAAATAGCACAAGTATCGCACTCCACATCCCAACTCCACATCGCGACAGCATTCCATTTCTTTAACGTAAACATCTTTTCAGATTTCTGCCCTTCTCCATCAATTTTATCCATTGTTTCCTTTTCTTGGTACATCACATTCAAATCACAACAATTATTTGCATCTGTCAAAACTTTCATTTGTGTCAAATGTTAATGAGGCGCCATCTGTTGGATCGATGCGGTTAATCGATGTTGCAAGAAAGTTGCCAATAGATGGTGCTTTTTCTGTCAAAAAAAAAAATTAAAGGAACCCTAACCTCATTCTAATTCCTGTCAAAATTTTAGGTCTTTTTTTTAATAAAGGACTGATTGTCCAGTTTTATATATAGAATTGAGCGGTAATAACTTGGAATGAATCGATAATCTACCAACGATTTTATCTCATTAAAACCCCGTTTTCATTTGGTATAGATACCAGGTAAACGTCCCAGATAACATATTTATTTCTTTAGAAAAGTGTATATTTGTAATTTAGAAATAAAATAAATCAAACCATGGATCTCTCATCGGAAATGTGCAAAAACTTAATTAAATGGCTGCATAGCTTAACATCAGAAAGATCCAAATCAATTGCAGAAATCAGTGATGGAGTGGCAATGTACAATGTTCTTATCCAAATATCGCCCGAACATTTTAACAAACTTATTTCAAAAATTAAACTAGATGTTGGATCAAATTGGCGGTTAAAGGTGAGCAATTTAAAGAAAATTAATGAAAGCATCATCGAGTACTATCAAGATGTACTCAACTTACAAGTATTAGAAGCAGGAAGACCGGATGTTGTGAAATTGGGAGAAACCAACGACATCATCCAAATTGGAAAAATGTTGAGATTAATCTTAGGTTGCGCCGTAAATTGCGACCGCAAACAAGAATATATCACCCAAATTATGGCGCTCGAAGAATCGCTACAACAATGCATAATGATGGCCATCCAACAACTTGAAGAAATAACCGGAGGTCCTGGCAGATCAATTCCATATTGCCTCCTCAGCATGGACACAGATTCGCGAGTTGCTCGCCTAGTAAACGAATTAGAATCAGCTAATGAAGCAAAAGAAATATTGAACCAACGTATATCAAAATTGGAGCGCCAAATAAACGCACTCTCAGAAGAAAAGGCATCATTAATAGCCGAAAATCATAATTTACTTGCTCAAATTGAAGAAAATCAAATGGCCGGCCCAATTCGACCACCAGACACAAGAAAACAAATGGAATTATTAAAAGAAGAACTTTTCAAAGTCGAAACAATCCGCGACGATTACGCGGCGAAAATCGTCGATCAAGACAAACAAATACATTCGCTTCAAGAAGAAATCGCAAAATTACAATTAGCCGTGGAAGATTCGAATCGATTAAAAGACGAAGTTGATGCGCTCTCCGAAACCGCCAACAAAGTACAAGAAATGGAAACGACCCTAACATCGTATAAAAAGAAACTCGAAGGTTACACCGACTTAAAAAAGCAATGCAAAGTTTTAGAAGACAAAAATTACGAATATATCCAACAAAACTTAAAATACGAAGAAGAAATGAAAAAACAAAACGTTTGGAAAGGACAATCAGATATGTATAAAAACAAAGTTATCGAGCTTGAACAAAAATTAGACGAACAAATCGAAAAATTAGATAAAGTAACACACATAAACAAAAATTTAGATTCGAAATTTGCTTCGGTTGTTTCGGAAAAAGATCGATTAATGAAAGAGCGCGATATTCTCCGCGAAGAAATTGAAGAAATCAAATTGGGTCATATTAAACCCGAAAAATTAGCGGCTATGTCGCAAGAACTCGTCCCCACAGAACTCGAGCAGCGTCTTAAATTCCTCGAAAAAGAAAACGCAACTCTACGACCTTCCAGTCAAGAAGCACTAGCAAAACAAGCCCTTTTAGACGATGCTTTAACGCGGGTTAAGAAATTAACCGAAAGTAATCGAGCTTCAAATCAAAGGATTCTTGAATTGGAGTCGCAACTTGAAGATCAAAAACCGGAAAAAATCGTCCAACTCCAAGAAGCTTTAGCTGCGAAAGAAGCTGAAGTACAAACACTCCAAGCGAAATATGCTAGGAGTGTTGAGAAGGCTAAAGAAGTTGCTGCGTTTTTAGATATGAAAACAAACGGGAGTTTGGAACCGTTAGGAATGGGGGGCATAAAACCGATGGAAGAGAAATTAATAGCAAGCGCTTTTTATAAATTGAGTTCTGTTTGTCAACGCGAAGCTGTAGATGAACGCGTTGCCCTCTTAAGTGGCGTACAAGGACAGTCTTTTCTTTCCAGGCAAAGACAACCTATGCCCCGAAAAGCTACAAATCCATTTAAATCTAAGTAATTTCGTTTAAATCTTTTCTTAGTAAATATGACAAAAGTTAGAGTATTTATGTGCAATATATGTTGAAGTTGTACGAATTTTAAGTGCCTCACAGTAGCCTTCAGTTTATAAATGTGTTTTCAATCAAATGTTATAGTATAAACATATCTTTTATACATAGTGGTTTATAAGAAAATATAAATATATTAATTAATACTAAGAGAACTTTTTATAATCTTTAATTCCTCAATGTTCCTGAAGCACACTCTTGATGTCCAGCTATTTCATTCTGGGTCTATCTTGTGGTTGTATTTCTGACTCTATCTCTTGTGATCCTGCCTATTATTCGCCTTAGATACTTCATTTTTGCAGTTTTTGATTTGTGCTTATCCTGCATTTGGAAAGGTTTTAGTCCCATATATTAATGTTGGCACGTTTTGGACGTTCTGTTTCTTATTTTCTAATATATTGTCTCATCATTGCTCATCATTTTGCTACCTCCAAGTTATTCCGTCCACATCTGATGTTTATGTCCTTCATCTTCGTTGCCGATTTGTTTGCTAATCTTCATTATTTTACTTTTCTTTGCGTTTATTTCAATTCCTGCACTTTGAAAGCATTTTTTTGTCTTTCTTTCTGATCCTTTATATACTCGGAAAACCATCTTGGACTTTAATGGGCATCCCTGTCTCAACTTTCTAGCCGTATACAATCGATATTCACACTTATAATATATTGATTTGATAAATTTAAATTTTAAGCAAATAAAGTTTAAAACTATTTAAGAAAGATGGCTCTATCGTAGAAGTAAAAATGTGTGAAGTGTATCATAGATGGCGTTTCCTGTCATAAAAACAGTTCAATATATAAAATAATAAAAATACAATTAATATATCTGCAGAACTAATCAAAGTCATTAACTAAAGAAAACAAGTTAAAATTAATTAAAGAAAGGGGACAATGGAATGTTTCTTGGAAGCGTTGAAAACACAACGTTTTAACAATAACATAAATCGGTTAGTAATCGTTGTAAATGTAATGCAAATTGTATGTATTTGCATAGGTTTTAACTGATTAAATTCTTTAGAGACATTCAGCCGTTTGGACTTTATACAAATTGGGAAGCGAGAAAGCGGATAGTTTTTATCAGCAATTCAAAAATATCTACGTAGTGCACCGAATTAAAGCGGAACCCGTTAAGTGTATCAAAAACGGCGCATCAGAAATCAGCTGGTTAACACTTTTCTTTTTAATTGAAAGGACACACAACGGAGAATACATGCACAAACGGTAACTGATAAAAGAAACGCGGGCCTACAAGTGTTCAAACAGCATACATGTAGTAGTGCGTAGTAGATTAGTGTCCACCAAATAAAACAGATGTGTATTATGTGTGTGGACAGGTGTTGCACGTTTTAGGTTATGTTTTCAAGTCATCTTGGTAGCTACTAGAAGTGATTAATTATGATCTAAGTCACCACTTCATAAATGACAGGGGGATTATTAGTTATTAATAAAAAAGTGTGTTTAGTTTAAATGGGATATTTTTGGAAATTAAAACATGGAAATCGAAGATCAGGACTCTATGGAGGGTGAGTTGTTTACTTTTTTTACACAAATATAACTGTTAACTGTTATAATCGAGATTGTTTATGTTTCACTTTATATTAAGCCAGTTGATCCGGCAATTTGACCTCTAGATTAGTTTTAATATGTTTTATATCTTTAATTCAAGTGCATATATATACATATATATGCATAATATCCATATATATTTATTTTTAGTATTATCCAGTATATCTATGTAAATAACCAATTATGATTATTTATTATTAAATTATGTTTGCGTTTTGTTTTTTTTGTAACTATGGCAACGGTAGGTATAAATTCGCGCCGAAACTCGTGACGTCACAAACGTCCGTAAACGTAATTATCTTTTATTATTAACATTGTCAAAAGTTACACAATCCGGTTTCTGTATGATTGTGCAACGGCCTTATCTAAATTTTAAAATAGTTTACTCGCTATAACGATCGTATTTAAATGTATATAGGCACGGTCCATGAATATTTAAAATAATTTAAAGACGATTTATGATTATAGCGGTCGCTGATTTATTATATCTGTAAAGTTTGTTTTTTTATTATAGGTCAATAACATTTAGAATTTTAACCCTTCGTCTGTAAACGGTTTTCTAGCACCTTCCGTCTGTAAAGGTGGGTCTTTCGGGTCCGGCCGTTTTTTCATCCTGTTAATGCACTTAAAAAATTTTATAAACAATTCATGATAATGTTCGAAACCTTCAACTTGATAAATCAATCATAAAATTATCGAAAAATTTATTTTTGCATACATATTTTTTTATACAAATGAAGAAATTCAGTTAATAAGAGTAATTTACTAAAAAAATCATAACTTTTGAAAAAGTAAGATATCGAAATTTTTGAAAAGAAAATTGATAATGAAAATAATGCTAATTTTTACAAAAAAATATTTTCTTTTATTTATTTAATATTAAGTGCTTAAGTTTGTACAGATAAAATAGACAATAAAATAAACGTTAGGAATTAGTATTATTTTATTTGTTCTAATTTTAATGTATTTATTTATTAAGTATATCAGTATTTTTTATCAAAAAACTATTAAAGCATATTAACCAAACATTAAACAAAATTATTACTTCTTAAGTAAAAAAAACTATTGTACACAATGAGCACAACAAACGCAACGATGTTCCTCACAGACAGGTTTTTGACACTTTATGCAGCAATACCCCGTTTTTTTATCTTTATCGCTTTTACAAAAATGACATCTCTTTCTCTTCGTTAGTTTATCTGTTTTTAAGATTGGATTGTCAAACTCATTCAAACCTAAAATCTCTATGATGCCATTGACTATGGATTTGTGCATTCCGTTCGTCGTTAAGCGNATATTTAAATGCAAATTTATAATAGTATATTTGTGACATTTAAAATTCGCTATCGCTCGCAATAGCGCTCGTTCTCGAATGTAAAAGTTTCATTTCACTATCTTATATCAAAAATAAAAATTTTCACTTTCCTGCGAGATCAGTATACGCCGGCTGTAAACCTGGGTCTTTTGTGTTCGCTACAGATTTAACCTGTTAACAACAACTGTACAACAGAAAATGAAAACTTTAACCTTGTGCGTTCATCACCTATCACACATTACCTTTTTTTAGGTGGGGGTCCGAACTATGTCTATTCACTTCTTAGAAAATTATTTGCCTAAACAGTTGTAGCTCGGACACGAAATACCCAGGTTTACAGACGAAGGGTTAAATATCTCAGCTCAGATAAAAAAATTATTTCGATTAAAATGGATCTAGAATTCTACGAATTAAAAATTTTTACGCAGAATATTGGATAAAAGCCAAATTTAATTTATTAATACAGAAATATTAGCGGCTATTTTTAAATTTTTGAGAAAATGTTTTTGTTGAATGCGGCATTTGTCCTCCATATTGGATGTTTAATAATAAAATTATTCAGAAAAATACTTTACAGTTTCCAAGGTTCTATTACATTATTAATTTTCACAATCATATTTTTTTAAACTAACTCTTTCGTTTTATAAAACAAATAGGGTGTGGCAGAAAGTGTATTTTTGAAACAAAATTTGTTATTTCTTACAAAAATTGACAAAATTGTAAGAACTAAGGATTTCTGTTGATAAAACATAAAATTTGGCAATCAAACTTCGAAGTATCCACCCTTCGCTTTTACAGTGGCAGACTGAAAAAGGATCATGGCGGCAAAATGAGACTTTCTCCGAGAAAGATTCCTTTATCAGAATCTCATCAAAGTAGTTCTAGGAGTCTTTGGTTTTAGTTAAACTCATTGTAAATTAGTTAGGTCATTGTGCCAATTCGTTTCAAGAATACTTTTACTTTCTGCAACACCCTATAATAACAAATAATTAACAAAAAAAATTTTTTTAGGGACTTACGATTTGTACAAAAGAACGAAACATATTCCCGCTATAGAAGCATCAAAAGTATATTTATTAATGCCATACAATGTGCCGGTATCAAGAACGGCACGTTTACAATGGTTGATAGAACATTTAAATACTATCGTTTTAATTCCATCCTCAACCCAGATGGCAAGTGATAATGTAAATGTATTAAGTTAAATATATTGATTTGATGTGTTTTTATTAGTTTTCTAACGATGAATTAGAAATAATATCAGCGATTCCGATGGATGGAAACCCGTCGTTAGGCAATAATCATTATCTAATAACGAGCAATACGCAATTAGAATTTCTTGCTCATTCGTATAGATTTGTGTATTGTCTCGATATGAGCCCTTCGCAGGCTTCCGTAGATCTTCATTTAAATGAAATACTCTTCGATGAAATTATAAATAGTTTTGAGACGAGTCTTTTGGGTCTGTGTAAACGGGTAAGATGAAAAAAATGTTGTTTTAATATTTATTGTTTTCTATATACAGTTTTGTGTTTAGTTCACCATTCCAGGTAACGCACAGGTTTTTCAACCGTGCATTTATCTAACTGTGATAGTCAACACTCCGTTCTTCATAAGTCCAGCTCAACAGGTGCTAGTGAAAGGGGTTCAGGTATCTAGTCAGAATGTAGCTGAAATTGTTTATTCTGTTCGGACGCAGTTTCATTATATAGAAGGTCGAATAGCGCACATGTCTGCGTTGGCCTACGATGAAATCGAAAGGTTAGCGGTAAGATTAAATGACTTTAATGTGAAAATATTTCAGCCTAATTTCACTTCATGCCCACTCTAGTCGGACAATGAAGATTTTATTAGTCAAGAAGCTCAATATAGTTCAAACATACCGTTGGTACCTTCCGATGCAAATTTTGTCAACATGTTGCGATATTCTATGCTTGCATTGTCCCTTTTACCGGAAATTAGTCTTAGCCGTACTAAATCAATTATTTTTAATAAATCAAAAAATAATTTTAATTTTTTTTAGATATTATCATTATAACCGATGGAGTTGTAGCGATGCCCGATTCGAATATAATGGAATCAATTATCTTCCAATTGCATTACGATAGCATATCGCTCTCTTTTATAAAAGTCGGATCTGCTTTCACACCGCATTTAAGCGCGGGATGCGTCGCGTATTCCGATTTACTTCATTTTTTATCTTGTTCAACACTTGGAATTTGTTTAGAAAGTTTACCTCCACCTAATTCATCAAAAAATATGAACACCTTCCAACAACTTTATTTATTTTGGTCATTTAATAGCAAAGTACAAATTAGTCAATCAACAGTACAAAAAGAGTTACCATCGTAAGAGAGATTTATTTTTTATTTGTTTCATTAATTTTTAATAATTAATTTTTTTTGAGGCGTCCAAATACATTTTGTTATGGTGTCCCACCATTACTTACCAAAAAACAAGCTGAAAATGACGTTAAAGTGCCTCTTTTACTTCTACTTTATAGGCGGATGAGGGAAGGTTACACAGTCGGTGTAAGTTGATTGGAAAAAAATCTACCTAAACCTAAACGAGGTTATACATATATATAATTAAATTAATTATTTTATTGTTTTTTAGAAAGTTAGTTTAAATAACGGTATACTAGAAGTCCGATTGAGCAGGCATTGGAAAGCTTATATTTATATTCAATATATCTTAACATCATCTTGGCCCGTTTTCAAGAATGTGACGCATTATGAAATACACGTGACAGGTAAGAAAGTGTTCGTTTTTGAAATAAATTAACAGCAGTTTTGAAATAATTTTTTGTTAAAGCTCCATATGATTTTTTACATGACATAACGTGCCTTATGAAAAAAGAAACGAAATCGTCATACCGTCAGGCGGTATTTGAAAAATTTTGGCTCCATTTGATACAATTAGCAACGAATGATATAGTCGTTCAATTAAGCTCGTTTCAAACATCCAATGTTTGGTATACGTTACCCGAAAGCGTTAAAAATGGCGTGCCGTTATTTACGGCGAATGAGTCGCAAACATACGACTCGAACAAACTGATTTTGTCGGTGAAGTAAGAAAATTTTTAACGTTCGTTTATGTTTGGTGGTTAATTTTTAGTACGATTAATGGGATTTCAGCGGCAAGTCATGTCCGAAATTTACGTCGATTTGGCAGCCCATTTGTCAAATAGAAACCAGTAATTGGAGGAAATGGTTTCATGTGCACAAGATTTCTTTGATTTTGAAACACGACAGTCCGCTATCAAAGTATGTTCATTTAATGAATCCTTCTGGTAGATACGAGGTATTATAATAATATTTTATATTGATTTTTTTTTTATAGTTATTTAAATTTTTTTTTAGATAGTTCAATGTCGCCTCGCGGCTACATCGTTGTACGAATTCCTTTCAAAATGGTCCTCGTTTGTCCTAATTGATAATCATACGTATCTAAAGTTGATAGAACGTGAGAATAATTCGCCGTTATTTTGCATTATTCGAATAACGTTAAAGTTTCCTTGTACAACGTTAACGGTTGGGTTTATGACGGGGACTTCCGGTGGGATACGTTTTAAAGTTCTCGAAGAGTTACGGAAAGATTTATCTCATTTAACGTATTTATCAAACCCGATTAAAAAAAGAGAAAGTAAATGTTGTACGCTTTTAAATAAACCTTTAGAGAAAATTTGTATCAAATACGAACGCGTCCCTAGTGAGTTCCATACTGTTATATTTCCGGATGGGACGCAGCCTCCCCACAGTTCTCAAAGTCTTCCCGTTTCACCGTTAGCTGGAACTTTATTCACAACGCTGTCTAGGTATTTGTTTCACCAACGGTGGATTTGGAGCGGAAATTATCACGCGAATCCCAAATTAGAAATGAGAGCTATTTCAAGAATTTTAACCACAATTACGAAAATTCGATTAAAAGAAGGGTTTCATTTGGCGCATTCGGCTTCCGGAATAATTACAATGGTTTTAGAATTACCCATGAGCCCCGCTTTAAGTTGTATCGTTCAATATGTTTTATTTCCACCTCACGATGCTTTGGCGTACGATGCCGATAGTTTCTCTGAGGACGAACAAGAAGGCGAAACTGACACCGAACTTCAAATTGTTACCGAAGTTTGGATTGAACCTCAATATGGCACAGTTGAAGTTAATCAATCTTCTAGAGTACAATACATGGAAAATAAATATTATTATGAATTAAGCGACGAAGTAATTTAGCATATAAAATTTTTAGTATTTAATGTAATTAATTTTTTTTAAGATACGTCGATCTGATTATAATTGTGTCAACTCTTTATTAACACTTGAACATCTCAGTTTGATGTGTCAACAAAAACAAAATGAAATTTTTGATTCGCCCAGGCTCTCTAGGCAAAGCTCAAGTTTTCGATCTCATATGCTCTCGAGATGCGCTGCGGATGATAATGGCAAAAATGACGAAACCGGTTCCGTTTGGATTCCACTATTAGTACAACGAATACAACATATTCCATTTACTTTCAATCCTATTACTATTTTAAAATTATGTCAACAAACTGAATTATTATTTTCGATGTTTTCAGAAGGTAAGTTAACTTAATATTATTATCTAACACGATAACACGCCTCCTTGTCGCAGTCCGTAGTTTATTTCGAAAGTTTGTGAAATATTTTCTTGTATCTTCACCGAGCTCCTTACATTTCTTAGTGTCCTTGCTATCAATTTTGTCAACTTTCTGGGGATAAAGTATCCTGTTCCAAATTATGTTCGTGATATAGGAAGTAATCTCGGCTGAATTCGAAGACGTCGGACGAGATTATTTCTTCCTAAAATAAAACACCGTATATTTAATAATTAATTTTTTTAAACAGGTAACAATGATAGAAAAGGAGACGTTGAAAAAGCGAATCTTTTATTACTAGAAAATTTATACAACGATATGATTTGCCTTCACGATCGTGAATTAGAAATCGAAGATTCAATGAAATTTACGGAACATATATTTTCAAGACATCCGAGTGTTTCGCGTGAAATCCCGAACGTTCGATGGCGTTGTTTTTTAAAAGGAGTCTCCGTAACGCACGTTATATTAGCGTTTATTCCAACGTCAATAGATGATTTAAAAAATTACGTTACTTGTGTTGATTCGGAGACGTTGTGTTTACCAATTTACGTGTATGATTGCCCGTTGGGTTTGCTAGTTGACGCGTGCGTTGAAAATCAAGGTGCTAATTTATATAAAAAGGATGTGTTTCAAGATCATCGTTTTAAAATGATCGAGGATCAAGATAAATTTAATTTAGAGGAAGAGATTTCGTTAAATCCCGAAGATGGCGATTCGGAAGAAACTGATTACGGAACTAACGTGAAGCAACATTGCAAAACGATCGCTTTAACGCATTGCAAATGTTTTGTGACTTCGCTTTATGCAGCTTTACATCAAAATTTGTATATTAATCGTGGTGATGTTCAAGCTGCTATGGATCAATGCGAAGAAACCATTTATAAAATTGATATAACTGAATATTTACAAACGATTTGTGGGCATTTGAAAGATAGCGAAGGTGATAAAATATCATTAATATCGTTAGAACAATATAGCGCATTAAAACCGATACATTCATTGATAAAAGAAAAATTTTATTCCATCACCAATAAAGCTTTCACTGTCATTCCGACGAATCAAGAATTCTATTTTTGTGATAATTTAAACATCGCTAAATTGGAAGATAAAAGTACAGATAGCGATGATGAAGTTATTTCTGATAACGTCGATTTCCAATCGGATAGTTACACCAGCACTGTTCATCAACAAAATGGCACCGTTTTTGTTCCGATGACTCCTTTATTTTTACACTACGTAGCTACGGTTCAATACGATGATTATCACGAGAATATCCCCGTAAAACTTTTACCAACGTGCCTTAAAGAAATATGCGACGTCATCGACGTCGAAATAACACAAAAATGTAAATTGTATATAAGCCTCGACGTTTTATGCTTAACATTACCCGGCGATGTCCAGAATGTAATAACAGGTTATTCAAGCAAAGGATTAAGAACAACGTCGTTTTGTTCCGATGGGTTTCAACTTAGCACTAGCGGCTCAGCCTCGGAAGGTAGTTGTAACTCAAGTTTTAATTTAGAAGAATTGGGCGGGTTATCAAACGTTCCCGATATTCAAAGACGTGCGATTCACGACCTAATTGAAGAAATTAAATGGTTATTAAAAGACGAAATAGCGCATTCCTTGTTAGATGTTAACCCGGTTACCGAAAATACTTTAAAATTCGTCTCGAAACATATTGCGGAAAGTAGATCTCGAGAGTCATGTCGAATGGACGTCATCGAATTAAATTTTGTTTATAAACCATCTCAAAGCTACGAAAAATTTATGCAAGAGTTCGGAAAAATTTCAGTCCCCGAATATCAACTCTGCCAAGTTGATGATATATATTACCTTTCAAAATTAAACGAAGAAGATGTTTTTACCGATTACGACAGCGATTACAATTTAGAGGAAGACTCAAAATTCCAATGGTTAATAGAATTACATAAAAAGCGAAAGAATTTGCCAAATTTTTGGCTCATCATGGAAATACATCACGATGCAGTTACAATATACTTTCATTGTAGATACTTAGAATTACCCACTATTCATGTCGGTGTTTATTTGAAAGTCCAACGCGATATTCACGACGCCATTAAAGATTTATGCAAACAAGTGAATCAATATTTATTATTGCAATCATTACACGATACTCGAACATGCAACGTTCTTTTAGAACCCGATGATTCTTTATCAGAATGGAAAAACGACACCGCTACTAATTCCGGGGCTAAATCATTTTCGCGGTTAAAATGTATGGAAGAAAGTAACGATGAATGCGAATTATATTCGGCAACACTAACGGAAGCTTCGTTAAAATTTAAAGCCGGTTATTTTAGTTGTCCCGTTGTTTGGGAGACACATTTCGTTTTACACCCACGATTTAAAACCGGTCCGGGTAAAGCGGGGTTGTCCGCGGGAATATCAACTTTAAAAACAGTTTTAGATAAATTTTCCGTTACAAACCGTTGCAACATGTTTGTGTATCAAGACAATAAAATGAACGTTTTTTATTTGCGTTTACACGAAAATTATAATTATTATAATAAAAATTCTCAATCAAAATTGAACGAATTTGAAAACGTTTCGCGGAGCCCTTCCGTCACATCTTTACCGTTGGGGCATCAAAAAAGTACTTTACCTGTTGATGGAACGGTTGTTTCTTGCGCGATCGCCGATGTTCGTCCGAGAGTGCGTTCGTTTGGCGAGAAAGAAACGAAAGAAGATCCGCATGAAGATACAATCATATTAAGAGTACATGGTATAACCGAAACGGGGCAAGACGTCAGATGCGAATTAGTTCAAGTTTTACAAAACAGACTCGATGATGCTGTTTTAGACAACCTTTCATTGACTTTAGCAAGAAACTCGATGTGCCCATTAACAGCGGATGACGTTCGATTTCTTCAAAAACCATTTAAACCCCCCGAATACGTCATACGATTTTTTATCCAAGAATATTCAATTAAATTACTCGACGCGTTTACGTATTATTTGCGCCAAAATTTACTTCAATTCTTAAACATCCCAAAATATACGGGCGATTGCAAACCTCATTACCAATTTAAAGATTACTCCGAATGCGATCAAGCCAATATTATAACAGAAGATAACATATTTATTTACAATCAAACATCAATGACCGGAAATAAAGGCATTTCTTGCATCGCTTTGGCGGTTATGGACCACACCAGAGATCAACCACGAGGGGAAGTTGATTTCCAAGAACTTTTAAAACGCAAAGAAGACGACATCGTCGAATGCGGCGTAATCGAAACGGAAGATATACTTCCTAGTACGTATTTAGAGTTCCGATTATGGAACCAAGGACGTGTTAATATGGATAATTTGTTTCAAAAGTTATACACAAGCGCTAGCCACGCTAATTGGGATATAATAATCGAATACCACATGCTTAAAAAACAACTATGTGTCGAAAAAATCGAAAATAACACAAACATAAAAATTGATTCGTTACAAAACGACGGTGTTGAGCAACGCAAACAAGTTATTCTCGACGCTACGATAGAACCCAGCAATATGAAATCGAGAATTATAAATTATGAGTTAAAATTTGATAAATTGCCTTCTCAGACGTATAAGAAACGGTTAACGGAGAATTTATCGGTCCAAAAATTACTTACGAGAGATTTATTCGTTAAGGATTTATCAAAAAATTCTATCCCTAAACCAATGGTTAAAATGGATCCTTATGAATTAGGCGAGGAAGGCCAACTTTCTGAAACATACCGCGTTATTTTACCCATGTGGTTTAAATTTTCTGATATCCTCGGCGTCCCTTCAGTAAGAAAAACAATTTTAAATCTATGTAGCCAACATTCCTTACATACGGTAGTTAAAGAACTACAAGGACTTATCGGAAATATATCATCAGATGCCGTTAGAGTCTTCATTTACGATAGCCATTCCGATACTTACCGTCCTTACATCTCCACTTCATACTCAAACGAATACATTTTGATTGCGAGAAGTTTTAATCATTGGAAAATATGTCAAAATGGTGATGCAAACTTAGCTAACGATACATCATTAAAACAAATTTTTAAATACCCGCCAACATCGATAAATAATCGCTTTATACCCCGACAAAGAATTTTATGGGCTAAAATAACCAACACCGAGGTTACTTTATACGTTTATAACTGGTCGAAAGATGCGATGGATAAATTAATAGATCAAACGACTAATTTAAGTCATTGGCTATGTATGAGAGGATGTCTATTATCTTCGATTACCGCACAAAAACTCGGAATGTTTCACGATCAAATTATAAGTAGATCGCCTTTCGTTGGCCCAAACAACCCATATATAAATAGTATGTGCGACGTAGATTTGATGTCGAAATTTCCAAGGGATCGAACAAGAAGGTCTCAAGCAAGCGTAAACGCAATCCCAACATTCATAGAGTCCTTTAAAGACACTTATCGAATCATATCGCCTTATATGGATTCTGTAGTAACGAATATGTTGGAAATGTGCGAGATAAAACAGTCGAATAAACGACACCGTGATGATTTAAAAGCTTTGCACTCGATGTATCAATCGCGAAGTAGCACTGCAACGCATTCCCAAATACATATTTTGATGCAAAATTCAAGAAATATTCACTATTGTCATACGCCGTTATTATTTTTATCGAGATGGCGAGTAAAGGCGGCGAGAACTCGAGATCACACAATTGTACCGACTGGCGATACAAGTTTCGATTTGCAAATGGACGAACAAGACGAATCGTGGCATCAAGAATTGTGCACGTACTTTATTTCCGAATACAAACATTATTTGCAAACGTTGGGTTTTATGACATTACAAGTTGAAAAGAATGATAAAAAATCGTCGAATTTTTTATTCGAAAACATCCATTTTATGCAAAAAGCTTTGTTAGGGGGAATTTTAATATTTACGATTGAATTAAAAGAACCTTTCTTGATAACGAAACTCCACGCGATTGAATACAATCGGTTACACAATAATAACACAAAAGCGGCAATAAATCAGTTTATGCAAAGCTTTCTCGACGAATGTGATAAGGTCAAATTTTTTATGCATTTGCATTCGTTTACATACGATTTTCATCTACGCTGCGTATGTAATTATGTCTCTGAAAACAACAACAGCAAATTAAAAGACGGTTATTATATAACAAGTTTTTTAAACGATTTTATGAAATATTACAGCAAAGCGCCAAATTACGCGAGAAATTTGGTTTACACCGATACCGTAAAAATATCAAATTTATTAACGGACGGAAAACAATTATACAACTTCTTATTAGCTCATATTAAACAGTACCAATTTAAACATATCATCATGAGAGATAACAAAGTTTCCGATGAAGTCGAATACATATTAGTACAAACCACAAACACACCTCAATTATCTTATAAAGACTCGCAAGATAGACAACACACCGACGATTTTGATGTAACATCGATCGTAACGGACGTAAGTCCTTACGACAACGGAAAAGATTACTGCCTCCACATGAAATATTACTTAATATTAACATCCCGAAGAGAAATATACCCGAAATTCGATAACGAAAAGAAACTCGGAAAATTCCGGACAGTTATTTCACTTAAAAGCGAAATCGAAAAACCCAAAGACGAAGTCATCTTAAACGAATTAGAGATCGATACCAACGAAACCGATTTGTTATCGCCGATCGATGGGGCTTCGCTTGAATCGTCTTTAGAAGATTCAAAATACGATAATCGCAGCTTTTCGTCGGAACGCGAAACCGACGATTCCGATGAGATCGAAAATCAAAAACCCAAAGACAAAACTAAGCCGCGGCAACGCGTCGAAATTAAACAAGAATCTGTAAATTATTTAGGTTATTATTCTTCGCATGAACAATTAATGCAACAACTTATTTTGGATTGCGCGAATTCCACGGAAACGAGACTCCGTGAAATGGCTTCACAAGGTATTTATTTTTATTAGAAGGTTTTTTTATTTATGTGTTTAATTATTTAGGAACAATACATTGTCGCACACACATGCTTTGGAATAAATTGTTATCGACGCAAGAATCAAATAAATTAACGTTTGAAGAATTTTCCGAATTAAAATCGTTGGCTAAACAAGAAAATTTAGCGGAAGCTCACCCGAATTTGGAAACGTTATTAAAAGAACCCATACAATGGTACCAAGATTTTGCAAAACTTCTTGTTATGAAATACTCCGAACATTATCGAGTCTTTGTGTCACCCGACGAGTCTATTTGGCATTATGTAATTTTACATCCAAGGTATTCGGGAGCTTTTATGATGTTATCTTTGGATTTGGATATTTCAAGAGGGGTAAGCGATAATATTCAATTTTTATTATTATCTAATTATTAATTTTATTTTAAGAATATATACATTGTAAATAGACCGGCTGATGATGTAGAAGAATCCCACATGTGCGTTAGAGACCGTAACGCCTTGATAAACGGTTTTATAAATTGTGTTTGTTTCTACCTGTGGATGAACATGATATAGCATCATGTTAAGTTTAAAATGTAAAAGAATTGTGTTTTTTTTTAATACTGTTTTAAGTCTAAGGAGAGTTTTATAATATTTTTTTATAAACTACAAAGTGCCATATTTTTATCAAAATAAAACACGTGCAATATTAAGAGAAAATGTTACGTTTCGAAATGATCGTTGTGATAAAACTTAGGATTAGATTTAATGTTGACGAAAAAGTTCAATAAAGTTTTTTGATATAAAATTTCTCTTTCATTTCTAACGAATTGTTCTTCGAAGTCGGCCGAGGTTGTTTTCCTTAACCTGCTTGAAATTTGTAGAAGAAATAATCTCGGCCGACTTCGAAGACGTCGGCCGCCCCAAATATTGCTTGTGATATAGGAAGTAACCTCGGCCGACTTCGAAGACGTCGGCCGCCCCAAGTATCTTGTGATATAGAAAGTATCCCAAGTATCTTGTGATACTTCCTATATCATGAATAATAGTACATCTTCGAAGTCGGCCAAGATAATTTCATTCCTTTATTTGCTTTGTTTTGTAAATATGAATAAAACAATATAAAAAGATATAGTAACTGTAAAATTTATTAATTAAAAACAAATCACATGGAAAGTACAATGAAATAATGCATAAACGTGAGTAATAATAATAATAATTAATAGATCGCACTACACCTGGCAGCAATCTAGTTTAAATCTGATACCTTAACGTTTATTTACGTGCGAATATTAAAAGAAAACAATGACACGTGTACGTTACGTAACGGAGTCTTTAACCCCGTTTGACACAACTTTACTGGGGGGTTGTAATAAATCACAGAATTGTAAAAGAGCCTCGCGTAAAGGCCTGGATACTTGAGGTGACGTAGTAGTAGTACATTCCACTAAATACGGATAGATGTTTATTAATTGTTCCCAAGATGCCATATCTTCTAGAAAAAAAAAATTATATACAAAGAAAAAAATTTTTTATTTATACCTTTTCCTATTGAAGCTTTCTTCATTGAAATAATCAACGTAGTGACGGCTTTTAATACAAAAGAAACCTCGGATAAGCGATATCGAGGTAAAGGACATTTTCCGCTGTGTTTTTCATCGTCAACGAATTTTTTCAAAACCTCTTGAAAACGATGTAGCAATGCTGTTACGGCTAATCTCCCGGCGACTCCCGTACTATTTTCATCAGCAGTCATTACTAAAGCTTGACTATCGTCATCAATCAGCGAGAATTGTAAAAGCGTTTCAAAACAAGTCTTAGCAAATTCTTCGCGAAGAGTTAACTCAGTCTCGGAATCAATGTTACTATTCGTCGCTGAATGTATGGAACCTTTATTTAATAATACAACCACTTTCAATATGAAATCTTTCGGAATGCTTGATGAATATGGAAGAACTTGTGTACATAATAATTCGATTAGCTGACAATCGGACGTTTCATCTGATACAAATTCATCTAAACCACGATCGCTTGGAGGACAACTATAAAAAAAAATGTTAAATCTATTTTGGTTAATTAAAAATTGAAGTAAATTTACGTTTTTGGAAATAAAAATTCGTTGAGTGTTTCAGCTAATTGTTTCCACATCGAGTGAAACCTATTACCGTTACATCTAGCAACTGGTAATCCAACTTTTAATACAGTTATCAAACTATTAGTGGCCAATTTCCAACTACTGTTCGATATACAATTGTATTTCATTGATAAAGGAACGTGTAAGGCGAGTATCATTTCGTGAAGAATATTGTTGTCGATTATATCAACATTATCGGCTGTTTTTTCATACAATTTCACCGCCATTGTCAGTGCTTTTTCACCAAATGGTATGTAATTCATCACGATCCATTCGGGGGAAATTTTTACATGTTTTGATTCGATTTTGTGTGAAGGCGGGTTGCATATGAATTTGCTAAAAGCAAGGTATTGCTTTAAAATGTCCGCTATCATTTTGTAGTTGTTCCTTGCGAGAGCTTCTTTTTGTATTAGATCGACGGCGTGTAAAACGCCATCGTGTAAAATTGACAAACTAAATTCCGATGTGTTGGCTAATAAATACTGCGAATTGTCACTGTACATTGGTACATTAACAATGTTATTTAAAACCTTACAAAGTTGACGTAAATCATCTATGTTAAAATTAGTTTTAATACACTGAAATATATTAGGAAATATTTGAACTAAAGCCGTTAAATATGCTTGATTTGGAATATAAACATCGTCGTTTATTTCTTTTTCCGACGGTATATATATTTCAGTTCCTATTTTTAACCAAACTTTCCATCCGACCGTCCAAATATCATCGTTTCCATTCAATTTATTTTCTTTAGTTTGCGATTTATTACCGTATAAAACTTCTTGAAACGATTTTAACGCCGCAAATGAGACTTCGTTGTTCTTACTTAACGCAGCGTTCTCTATAAATTCTAATAAAATCGACCAAGCCCTAGGAAAATCGCCTAAAGCTTGCAACAATTGCCTTTTTGTATTAAAAACACGCGCAACACCCGATAGTGTTAACACTTGTGTTTCCGCCCATTGTTTTTGTGCTGTATTTCTGGTGTGATGAATCAATATGTTACCACCAGCGTCTACTTTTTCGGAACTGGCCGTTGTTGATAATGTTTTTACCTTTTCAAGTAATGGGAAAAGTACTTGCCAAACAACCGCTTGCCATGTTCCTTGTTTTAACAAATTTCCATGCGCGCTTATCGTCGAAAATAGCGTTTGACCCGCAGATTTTCTTACGGCAGGCCTGGGGTCCACGCATAATTCACCAAGCCTCGCGTACAAACACATCCATAACTTATCAAAACTAGGCATATTAATCGTACCCGGAAATTCAGGCAAAACTGTCGTATCTTCAGTTAACGTTTGACTCAACTTTGCTTGATTTTGATGAAAATAATCGGAAATATTCCACTATAAAGAAACATTAGTCGTTAAAATGATAAAGAGAATTATAGGGTTACCATTAATCCGACTGCAGTTAACGATATATTTAATTCCTGCGTTTGCGATCCAAACTTAGCAACAGTATTTACACAAAGTGGCAAATATCTCCATGGCATCACTGGTAAAAAATCCGTTATTACTAATTGTAAACATTGAAAAGCTATTTTTATTAAATTCTCCCTAAAATCCAACAAAAATAACTCATTCCAATATTTACATCAACGATTTGTTTTATACGCAAAGTCTTAAAACTATGCGTATAAAAATTATTATTTTGATATACAATATTACAGTGCGACCTCGATAATTAATTAATTTGTTTTTGCTTATCCAGATCACTGCGGTTTTAATTAGTTCGGATTATCGAGGTCACGCTGTATTATAATTTCTTTAAATGCATTAATTTCCCAACATAATCTTAGTGATCAAATCAAAACTATGTTGAGAGATTATGCATATAAAGATGACGATACACACCCTTGATGATCTGAAACGGCACCAATAATTCCTAAAACTAAGGACCATCCGTGCGACAAAGTTTCGCCGGCTCCATGTAAAATTTGCAACACACATTCGAGTTGTCTTTGACGAACATCTGCTTGTCGTATGTTGGAAAGTTCAGCCAACGGTCCCAAGAGAAGCGTTTGAAGCTTTTGATTATCACGCAACGGAACGGAGTGTTTGAAATGTAACGCCGCTTTAACCAAGTATGTGATGGCTTCGACTCCCCATTCGCGCATTCGAATGTGGGGATGGTGACAAACTTCCAACAGATGATTAGTTAATGGACACCAAAGGACCTCGATTCTTTTCATGTTTACTAAACCCGTCTCTAATAATTTAGCGACAGCAAATAAAGATGGTTCTCTATTTGTTGACGCTAATTCCATAGCTTCTTGAGATAATTTACACAACGCGTTTATTAAATGATGCAGAGCGACATCGTCTAGGTATTGACTCGATTCGAACAATCTACTTAACATGGCTGATAAAACCGGAAGATCCGCCATTACAGAACTTATAACCGCGCTTGGCTCTATCAAATTCTTTGCTGCTTTTAAACTCCCACCTGTGGACGGTTTTAAACCGAGTATCCACACTAAATGTTGCAATGTGGTCAACACCAAGTGCCAAGATGAACCTAAAATACTCCCATGGCAATGAGCTAGACTTAACAAAGCTCTCATCGCTTGTAAATTTTTTGCCGTTAACATTACAGGTCCTTGAGAAGCACCTAAAACAATTATTTGAATTAAATTGTTTTAAAAATATTTTTTTTAATTACCTGCAGGTACTGCTGAAGTAGGTAATGGAGTTCCAACAGCAACAACTTGTTGCCGATAATCAACTTCCCCATAAGACGTTGTAAATTGACCGGACACATCGCTATCGGATCGTTGCCTCAAATTAATATTCGGTGTTATAGTGTTCAAAATGGTCAAGGCATAATGTGGCGGAAGCGATGCCTTACAAATCGCGGTAATAAATGCATCTCTAGCTGTAGGAAGTTCTAATAACCCGCAAAGCGAGGCGTAAGTTTGCACACATTTTAAAATACTTTCAGTAACCGCTTCATCAGTACTCGCTTCAATTAATGGACTTAACGCAGCCAAAAGCCCGCACCAACTAGAATTAATCAATTGAGTATGAAGCTCTCTATCCGCAGTATTCGGAGTTTGTTGAGGTGGATTATCTTCATCAGGAAGTGGTTGTGGAACTATCGTTATATGAAGTGAACGAACTATTTCTAACAAACAACCGTAAGCTACTGATATACCATATCCATCGGGGATCGTTGGCGGCTCAATTTTATCCAACATTTCCAAACTAAATACATTAAATTAAGATGTATCAAAAAAAATATGTGATACATACTATATTGGTTTCGTTTGTCCTGTAGCAAATGTTATGACTATTGGTAGCCAAACATTTCGTGATAAAAAACCTGGTGGTGGGCTAACTCCAGGTCCTGAAGGAAGATTAAATGTTGGGTGCTGACCTTGTGTTATAGGCACTAAAAATAAAATTTTAAAATTTAATCGACGATATCTTTTTATACTCACCACTACTAGTCATATGAATTTGTGGGGCAACAAATAACGATTGGACATACGCTCCCAAAGAATTAACAATATCCTGAAAAATACTAGTTGTGTGTTTTTTAATATCATAACATTCGCAGAATGAATTTAAAAGTTCGGGTTGAACGGTCATTTTGTGTAAGACTTCCAACGCTAGAGATCGTTGCCATGTTGGTTTATCAGGATCCAAAAATTTGACAATTAATGATAAAAATATTTCGCACTCTGTAACTAAAAGTACGTGGTATCTCTGTATCAAAATAGAAACGACGCGTAAGAGACGCATGCTGATTGGAAAATAAGGCTTATCAAACGGTGTGGCAGATTGTACATTGGCCGGCACGGTGCTTCTGTATTTTATGTTCGGAGAAAATAATTTTATTACTAAAGCGCACACTCTTTCTTTTAATAAAAAACCAAATTCAGCATTTTTAAAAAACACTTTTGAAAATTGAGTCAAAACGGATTCCAGTAATTCCAAACCAAACGTTCGAGTCATTTCCGTCATTCCTATTAACCAATACGGTTGATCGGCGTTTACTAATTGTACTAAATCTTGAAACAGTAAATAGGCATCAGCTGCACATGGTGGTAAACCTAAACAAATATGAAAAATTTTTAATTAATACACTGTTCGAAATAATTCACGAGCTGTTATGATCTGAACGCATGTGTCTAGCGCAATGAAATTTGGTATGGAAGTAGTACTAAAGTAGTGTAACTTATCCTCAAATGAAACACCTGGAAGAACGGCTCAGTCATCAATGCCACTACAGAAAAACTCGAAACTCGCTGAATACACTCGTCTACAGTAAACGTTTATGCTCCGCAAATATTATGGATTTAACTTCACGCGTTCAGATTATACAGGGTGATTCAAAAAACCGCTGACAGACTTCTAGGGCAGGTAATACATCAAAAATTAGGATGAAAAGTCTTAATATACATGGGGTCGCAAATGCCTCCTTAGCGAGACAATATTTTTAAAAAAGTGCTTTTTATTGCAGATAATGTTTAATTTTACAGAAATATATATTAAGACTATTCATCTTAATTTTTCATGTATTATCTACTCTAGAAGTCTGTCACCGGTTTTTTGAATCACTCTGTATAGGGTGTGCTCGTGAATTATTTCCAACAGTGTACTTTTATGTTTAAAAAATTTTACCTTTTGGTGGTACCCCACTCGGAGTTTTTAATTCTTCAAGGTTTACTTGTCTGGGTTGATTCGAATTGTTCGATTTACTAAGTTGTTCATCTTCGGCGACGACGCGTTCGAATACCAAGGAAACTAATTGTCTCACAGTCGCGCCGGCTGTGTTTATTGTCGTTGAATTTTTTGCGAAATGGAGTCGAAAGCAAAGTACCAAAGTCTAATTAAAAATATATCATTAAAAATAAAATTAAATACAATCCCAGCGGATATCTCTATTATTGTTAAAGATGTGAGGAAAAATTAGAGTATGTGTTGTGTTCCCTAAATAGTTCCTTAATAGCCCCTCTTCACTATGGCTCATAATGGACTACTCGAATGGTCGCCATGATGGCCACCATTGATGATGGCGCCATGATGGCTAGCGTGTTTGCTTCCACACATAATAATAATTTTTTTTTAATTTTTGATGAAGATCGACTTTTTATATAAATGTCTTGCCAAGATCGACCGAAGGGTTTAAGTAACCTTCCTTTTTTTTTGCTCAGAGGCCCAGATATTTCAGATTCATGATTTTTTTTGGCAATCGACGTTATGGTCACCACTGATTTAGAGTTTATAAATAAAAAATGGTAATAATTGAGTTCAATCTTGTTATGGATTTAGTCTTTATGGCCCATTACTAAGGTTTTATGTATAAAAAGTATTTCCCCATCGCTTTTAGTTTTTGAGTTATAATTGAGTTAATTTTCGAAAATCAACAATTTTGATGTTTAATCGATTTAGAGCTTATAAATAAAAAATGGTAATAATTGGGTTCAATCTTTTTATGGATCTAGTCTTTATGGTCCATTACTAAGGTTTTATGTATAAAAAATATTTCCCCATCGCTTTTAGTTTATGAGTTATGATTGAGTTAATTTTCGAAAATCAACAATTTTAATGTTTAATCGATTTAGAGCTTATAAATAAAAAATGGTAATAATTGGGTTCAATCTTGTTATGGATCTAGTCTTTATGGCCCATTACTACGGTTTTATGTATAAAAAGTTTTTCCCCATCGCTTTTAGTTTATGAGTTATGATTGAGTTAATTTTCGAAAATCAACAATTTTGATGTTTAATCAATTTAGAGCTTTCCCACTGTGTGGACATGCCACTGCGCAGTTAGATAATGGCGCGACTGCTCTCAAAGCCATCCTTTACCATTACTTATGGCCACCATCCCTCTACACAATGGCGATGGCTCGCAGTGGTCCATGATAAGCCATAGTGAAGAAGGGCCATAACAAATTTGATGTTCACTTAAGTGTAAAGCAACATTTTGTTGCAATAATAATTGAGATATTCATTGTGACAAACTATATAGACATACTTTAGCCAATGTTTCTCCATGCACAACTGTATTAGTTGTAAGCAATAAAGTTACTGATTGTAAAACTTTAACTTCTTCGATTCCAGACTCCATCAAGGTCCATAAAGTATCTGTTATGTATCTGGCACCTTTTGGATCAACTACTTGTTGCTTTATTAATCTTTGAATAATTTGTAAACAACACTATACACCAAAAAAAAAAAAAAGGAATTATATTAATTAACAAATAATGAACAAAAAATCTTACTTTAATTATTTTTACATCTTTTGATTCACAGCCTTGAACAAGTGGATACATAACTTGGTTAATAATGTAATATAAAGGTTGTTGAGGTGTTGAATTAGCATTACGAAGTTTCACAATAGCTTCTTCACATGACTATAACCATGAAAATTTTATTTAAAAAACAATAATAATATAAACAAGACTTGTTTACAACAAAAAATAACCATGTACCTCTTTAATTTGGGGATATTTCTTCTTAGTCTCAACTGAGAGCATCTTAAAATCATTTTGTAAAGCTTCAATGAACGCAGGAGGTGCGTCCATCCCAATTGTACCGCTCTCTAAAGCCATTTTAATTAATCATTAAATAATATCAGTAGTTTACAGATGAGGTGGCAGCTGTCAAATGTCAAAATTTAGGTTAACTACTGTTTTCCACGGCTAATACCGGCCGTTTTAATTAATAAAAGGCCTTGTCACTCTAAAAACATTTTGGTTTAGGTACCCAAATGAAAATGTCACTTTTAAACGCCCCCACAAAAAGTCATTAAAACGCTACTATTATTTATAACATTAGAAACCTTGATTATATATTAACACTACACCGAAAACAAGCTATTCTATCACGATTCGATTTGGCTCATTACAAAGTTAGTATACCGTAAAAGTTGTTGCTCATTAAACGAACTATTAAAGAGTGTTATTTAACATGTATTTACTTCTTTCGTGGTTTGTTATGATTTGACAGCTCGAACTGTCAAACAATGACTTCTATGAATAGATACACGTTTAAAGGTACTCACAAATCCAATAAGTTTTTGTAAGAAGGAGATGTGTTTATATGATTTCGGTAGGAGCGAAAAGGATGTATTAATGAAATATATGATTCGTTTCTTTAATTTATTTATTTTGTAAAGAATTAAATTAATAATAATTCTTTTTTACATTAAACTTTTTTAATTTTATAGTTATATTTTATGTGGTGTCGCGAAAGTTGCATATCTCATTAGATGGGACACAAAAATTATTAAAGAAAACGACAAATTTATAACACCATATTAAAAAACAAGTTTCGTAAGACACGTTTGAAATGCACGAATTCAAATTTAATAAATGAGTAACAAAAATAAAACAAATTTTGACAATGTAGGGAAATAGGTATGTAGCAGTTGGTAACACCGTAACACTTGAAAATAGAAATTTGAATTGACAATTAGACATTGTCAAAACACAAAATGTAAAATAAGAGAAATTGCTATTTTTAAGAATTATGATAAGAATTATTAATTTATTATTAATTACACATGTCATGTGTGTTAAATTGTAGCTTAAAGATTATAGTTTATGATGTGATACACAAATTATTAGATAATATTATTAAAATTTCATTTATTAAAGAAGAAATTGTTAAATTTGTATATAAAAAAAGTAAGAAATTTTCAAAAAATCATATTAACCGTATTTTTGAGAATTAAGATATGATATTTGTGGTAAATTGTAGCTTAAAGATTCTAGTTTATGATATGATATAAAAAAGATAAAGTATTATTATTGAAATTTAAAAAAAAAAATAATAAAGAGGAAAGCGTCGAATTAATAAATCAAAAATAAAAAATTTTAATATGATATGTGTATTATATATATAGAAATTGATAAATATTAATAATTACTAATAATATTAATTTATTTTTTTTACAAATGTGATATTAATAGAATATTTGCGACTGTAATTTTTGATCAGTCAACAATTTGGAATTCCTCTTAAAATAGCGCATGAAGTAAATTCGTTGGTATTTTATCAAGAAATGTTTTTTAAAAAAATGTTCATTGTCTACCGTTAATGAAACACAGTTTCACTTATTCACATTTTATTGTTAACTCGTTCTCGGTAATTAAAGATTTATTAGAAAAACAAATAAAATTCCTTTTTAATTCATGAAAAAAGCGAAATTCTTATCTTAAAAACTTAAAAATTTTTCTTAGTAAACAAACTTCTGTTAAGGTTATTAAAATATCATTAAAACCACCGTTTCGAATGGTAAATAGATCAACATTCTCAATGCTAAAAAAATTATTCGGTTGACTGTGAGCATGGGGAGCATCTGTGTGATGGGGAAATTGAATAATTTACAGTGTTTATTGAGGGTAATTAAAAGATAACAAGGAGAAACGTTTACAATTGTACAGTTTGGTCGAGTAAACAAAACAAAAAAAACTGATTCTCTATTTTAATGTAATGAAAATATTTATCTTTTATTATTATTTAATGGTTTCGTAAAAACGAATAGATGTTATCGTGAGCTAAAGATTGTAAATAAACAATGTGTTATCTTTATAAATGTCGATGCAACGAAACATTTTTAAGTTGACTATGAACTTATGCCGACCGCCTAACTCGCATCAGTTATATAGATAGTAGAGACTACTACAGTCATACAACAGTTCAGTCCAATATAATTCCATATACGATTTCAAAAGGTTTCAGTTTGAACGTTCGGGTTTAACCGTAAACATGGAATATAAAAAGTTCAGCGATAGCCGATCAAGTATTTTGTGGATAATATCATTGATGATATCAATCATATCGCTCGTATTATGTGGTGGTTTAATGTACAAAATCTACAATTTACAACTACAAATTGTAGAGCTTGATTTAAAACATTTGTATTTACAAAAGGATTTCTTAGAAATATTGGTTTGTATTAAAACATTTTAAACAAAAGATTCGTTGACTAATATCCTGCGATAATAAAAATAACACAAAATAGGGTGAATAATAACAATATTTAAGATTATGGTCACATTTGTCAGAAGTTAGTGATAAGACCGGTTAAGAATTTAAAATGAGTAAACTTTATGGAATCGCGTGCGTCAATTGCAATGTTATTATTAAATTCTATAAATTCTCTATTATTACAAAAAAAATATTTTCTGTCGTTTCATTTTTCAGAAGCAATCCGATGAATTTCAATGGACCACCGGCACGTCAGTAAGTAAATTTTGGAACGCTATTTTTAACCACGCGACCTTAAAAGCAATAGCTATAATAAATTTCATTCAAAATACAAGCACATTTCAAAATTTCTATTTAAAGGAAATCGTTGAAAAAACTGTATTTTTCAGAATTATGATATGATATGTGTGTTAAATTGAAGCTTTAAGATTCTATTTTATGATATGATATAAAAAAGATAAAGTAATATTATTGAAATTCCCAGAAAAAAAATAATAAAGAGGAAATTTTTAAATTTATTTTTAAGAATTAAAATAAAGTATTACTAAAATCTCATTACAGCATCGGATGCTGTAATGAGTCTCATTACAGCACCCGTTTGAGTACTGTAATAGCTTTCATTATCATCGCGAATTACAAAAATTAAGTATACGAAATTTTCAAAAAAACATATTTTTAGGAATTATGATATGATATGTGTGTTAAATTGTAGCTTAAAGGTTCTAGTTTATGATGTGATAGAAAGGATTACATAATATTATTTAAATTTGAAGGAAAAAATTATTAAAGAAGAATTTATCAAATTTGTTAATCAAAAATAGTAAGAAATTTAAAAAAAATCATATTAACCGTATTTTTGAGAATTATGATATGATATTTGTGGTAAATTGTAGCTTAAAGGTTCTAATTTCTGATATGATATAAGAAACATAAGGACATATTATTGAAATTTCTAGCTACAATAAATTTTATTCAAAACACAAACATTGCAAAATTTCTATTTAATGGAAATCGTTGAAAAAACTGTATTTTTTAGAATTGTGATATGATATATGTGTTAAATTGAAGCTTAAAGGTTCTAGTTTATGATATGATATAAAAAAGATAAAGTAATATTATTGAAGTTTCCAGAAAAAAATTAATAAAGAGGAAATTGTCAAATTTATAAATTAAAAATTTTAATAAATTTTCAAAAAATCAGATTTTTAAGAATAATGATATGATATATGTGTTAAATTGAAGCTTAAAGGTTCTAGTTTATGATATGATATAAAAAAGATGATGTAACATTATTGAAATTTCCAGTAAAGAATTATTAAAAAGGGAAGTGTTAAATTTATAAATGAAAAATATTAAAAATTTTCTAAAAAAAAATTATGATATGATATGTGTGTTAAATTGAAGCTTAAAGATTCTAGTTTGTGATATAAAATAAAAAGTATTAGATAATATTATTGAAATTTTTAGGAAAAAATTATTAAAGACGAAGCTGTAGAAAATCAATTTTATTAAGATATTAATTTAAATATTTGGGTAATTTTTAGAATATGTAATAACTTAGTTATTTCTCCTTAACTATATTATATATAGTTATTATTAAATTAAATCTAATTTTATCCAATTTTATATATTGTTTACTACACATAAATTATTTATTAATTAATTTTAATATTTTAGGACGATTATCAATATGATTACGAAAACGACTCCGAATACTCAGAGTTACAATTTAAACCAATCGAACAGAACTCGACAGAAAACAAAGAACAATTATTAAACAGCGACAATCAAAGAATTAAATTGCGATTAAAACGTGAGTTATTAAGAAGAACCTTCGATGGAGTTCCTGTTAATTCAGAATCATACGAAGATGCAAAAAAAAATAAATCAAGGTAATTAAAGGATAAACAAGAAATTTAAAATTTATAAAATTTTATTTGTAGTAAAACTGCTCCAACATCCCCTGGAACGTACGTTAGGCAATCAAGAGTGATGCGTGTTGAAGACAAATCAAAAGTTTTTAGAAGGTTAATTAAAAAGCCGATTTTAAAATCAGCCGATTTGGTGCTTGAAGACGATCAAAATCGCCAAATTCGTCGTAAACACCGTCAAAGACGCGTTGATTCGGGTGAAAGATATTCAAAATTGAAACCTGCGATCCATTTAAGTGGGGATGTCTATGTGTCAAATGGTTTGGCGCATCACGAAGCTGAACATTACAAGAATTGGTCGAGAGAGTCTTGGGTTAAAGCGTTAGGTATGGATCAATATTTTCTCCTTGAAAACGGTTATTTGAAAATATCCGAACCTGGATTGTATTTGATTTATGCTCAAGTTTTGTATTTTGACGAACACGACACTAACGGTTTTTACGTTTATAAAAATGATGAGATTATTCTTCAATGTACAACAACATCGCATTCGACTCATCACGTCCGGAAATCCAATACTTGTTATACGGCTGGTATTAATCATTTGAATGAAGGCGATCGTCTTCGTGTACACGATATCGAATCTTATCGATACTCTATATTTAGACCAGGAAAATCATTTTTCGGCGCTATTAAGTTAAGCGATGTTAGAAAAGTACATTAAAATTTATTCGAAAATAATTATTTTATTGCTTATTTATACGCTTAAACGTTCTTTTATAATTTTTTTAACAAACATGCTTTTTTACCGTTTTCGTTTGCCTTTAATCATTGTATATATATAAAAATAAAGATTTTATTGTCAAATTTACTCGTTTTGTGTTAAACAAAAAAAAATTTTTCACAAAATCATATCGGCTGTGTTTTTAGGAATTATGATATGATGTATGTGTTAAATTAAAGCTTAAAGATGCTATGATAAAAAAATATTAGATAATATTATTGAAAAAATTTATACATCAAAATTAATAAGAAATTTTCAAAAAATCATATCAACTATATTTTTGATAATTATGATATGATACATGTGTTAAATTAAAGTTTAAAAATTCTATTTTATGATGTGATATAAAAACTATTAGCTAATATTATTGAAATTTCGAGAAAAAAGTTATTAAATATTAAGGTAATGTGTTAACAAAAAAAAGAAGGGTGGAAAATATGAAAAACATCTCAAAAGCGCAGCCGCATTGGTTTTCGCTGGTCGTTTTAGGCGACCCAGTAGTTAGTTGAAATGTCGAACGTTGAGCTGCGTATTGATTCAAAGCTTGGTGATTTTGCAAAGTGTTGAAAGAAGAACGAAGCCAACGCAAAGTAAGTGAAAATAAGAAATATTAAAAAATTTGAATCGTGTTGCATAAATTGTTTGTTAATATTTAATTTTTAAGTATATGTGGGAGAGTTAAAGTTAGCAAATCAATACTACGACTAGCTGGTTCTACAAGTGGGTTCTATTTCATTGTAAATTAAAAAGTTTAAAAATTAATATTTTTTACAACCTAATTACAAAATACATCAAACTTATAATAACGACGTCAATCAAATTTTCCACTATTGTGTGCGATTTATCAAATTTTAGAATCTTATACAACCATTGTTGCGATATTTTAACACGCGATTGTTCCTCGACATTCGATACTAAATAAACAACTATATCACTATTTCAATGAAACAATATTTCTTAAAAATTTTACTTCCTTTTATATTTTAGGCAATGAATGGTTATGCGCATACCTAAAGAACAATACAAAAATTTAATATAAAAACCACTTGGATGTACCGAACAAGTTCAGTTTCATTTGGAAGGGTTCTTTTGAGCAGAGGTTTTAAAATATGGCAGGAAATAATCATAGGTAAATCATGTTGAATTTAATGTTTTATGTATTTAATTTGATTTTTCTTAGGCTTGTTTTACCAGTACCAATGTATCACAGCGATTACAACATTTGGTCAGTTTTAAAAAATTGCATAGGAAAAGAATTAAGCAAAATAACAATGCCCGTCGTATTCAACGAACCATTGAGCTTCCTCCAACGGATTGCGGAGTACATGGAATATTCCCACCTTCTAAGAGTTGCTTCCGAACAACAAGATCCCATTGCAAGAATGCAATACGTAGCCGGTTTCGCCGTGAGTGCTTTGGCATCGAATTGGGAACGCCTCGGAAAGCCGTTTAATCCCCTATTGGGCGAAACGTATGAGTTGCAAAGAGAAGAGTTCAAGATAATTTGCGAACAAGTCAGTCATCATCCCCCAGTATCGGCTTTCCACGCGGAAAGCAAAGATTGGATTTTTCATGGATCAATACACCCCAAGTTGAAGTTTTGGGGGAAAAGTGTTGAGATTCAACCGAAAGGAACCGTTACAGTTGAATTTCCAAAGTCAATATTATCAATTTTTAACATATAACGAATTTAATAACTAAAATTTTAGATGGAACGAAGCTTACACTTGGACGAACGTTCAATGTTGCGTCCATAACATAATAGTAGGAAAACTTTGGATGGAGCAATACGGAAACATGGAAATAACCAATCATTCAAACGGTCTTAAAGCATGTTTAACTTTTAAACCCGCTGGGGTGCACTCAAAAGACATCCATAAAGTTGAAGGATACATCCAGGATAAATCGTAAATAATAATAAAATTATTCCAACAAGAATTAATTAATTAATATTTCCAGCAAACAAAAATTGTATTTCATTTACGGAAAATGGACCGAATTTCTAAAATGCGTCGATTACCCTTCGTACGAAGATTACACAAAAGAATCCCTTCAAAAAGGAAAAAGAGAATCAAAAAGCCCCAACGAGTCGCCATCGCACACCCCCAAAAAAGTTTTGCAAAAACTAAACAGCTTAAAAGTTAGCCCGTTTAAAAATGCAGAGGTAAAATAAAATTTCAAAAATAATACTAAACTTAAAATAATCGCTTTTTAGAGTGTAGATGATGTTCCTCCTTACGAATACCCCGAAGGTGAATTGCCCAAAACCGAATCAACTTACTCTTTAGATGTACCAAATTCATTCGAAATTTGGAAAGTTACTCCTCGTCCACTTCAAAGCGCCGATGTAAGTAGAAAATGATGTTAAACGATTTAAATCGTATTTTTAGTATTATCAATTTACCGAATTTGCGATGTCGCTCAACGAGCTTGATTTGGGCATGGATGGTACAATATGCCGCACGGATTCCCGTTTCCGCCCGGATATAAGAAAATTGGAACAGGGAGACATCGACGGTGCAGCCATCGAAAAAACACGATTAGAGGAAAAACAACGAGACGCTAGCAAACAACGGAAAACTAAAAAAACCAACGATTGGGTGCCAAGGTTAATTACATTTTTTATACAAGTCATGTTAATTGAAACTTTGAGCAATATTTACCAACAAATTTAATAATAAAGAAAAATGTAATAAAATTTTTGTTAAATTAATATTAATAAATCATTTTTTTTAGATGGTTCCAAGCAGGTACAAATCCTTATAGTAAACAAGATGATTGGCTTTATAATGGGAATTATTGGAAAAGACAGTACACAACTGATTTGGATATATTTTAAAAAGGACAATGAAAATTAGAATAATGGCTGCTATGATATTTTTCTAGGAAATTTTAGGGAAGCGGTGCCAATGCGAAACGCGCGCACTAAAAACCTATATATCCAAACGCAATACGAGTAAAATGTGTTTTACCGAAGTAAATGTAGCAAATAAATAGTTATGTAAATAAACAAACATGAATAAGTTTCGTGCCGCTGGCAAAAAAACAAAAAAAATTGTTTTGTACCGGTACTGAAACGATTCGTTAAAAAAAATATAAACAAATATATAGATAATAGATCATTTAGCTATAATTAGTTACAATACAAGAAGACCCATAACCTGTCAAGTCTAATTTTTAAGAGATGTATATGCATTGTTGCTTGCTGTATACAATATGTATGTTGTGTTGAATTAGGAAATATATTTCGTTAATTACAATCTGACTATTTTCTTTTAATGCCTCAATAAATAACTAAACCCCAAATTCAACTGCCATAACTAATATTACACCCTGTAAGATCGTGCTTAGAATTCAGAGCGTTACTATTAATAAACTAGAAAACTACAAATTAATCTTATTTTCGTATTTTTCTCGATATTTATGCATCTGAGAGCAAAAGTGAAATAAAGAATAAAATTTGCTACAAATTTTGTTTTCTTAACCTACTTGAAATTTATGAAAGAAATAAACTCGGCCAATTTCAAAGACGTTGGTCGCCCCAAGTGTCATGATCAATAATTAGGGCGGCCGACGTCTTCGAAGTCGGCCGAGATTATTTCTTTCACAAATTTCAAATAGGATAAAAAAAATAGGACTTATTAATATATGAAAGAAATAATGTCGGCCGCTCTAGGTACTGTTTATGATACTTGAGGCGGCCGACGTCTTCGAAGTCGGCCGAGATTATCTCCTATATCACGAACAATACTCAGGGCGGGATTATTTCTTCCACAAATTTCAAATAGAATAGACTTATTAATTTATGGACAAAATCATCTCGGCCGACTTCGAAGACGTCGGCCGCCCTAAATATTGTTCATGATATAGGAAATAATCTCGGCCGACTTCGAAGACGCCGGCCGCCCTAAGTATTCTTCGCGATGCTTGGGTTGGGTTCTGTTCGGCCCAGATTATTTCTGTTGATATAAAAAATAATCTCGGCCGACTTCGAAGATGTCGGCCGCCCTAAGTATTCTTCATAATATTTGGGGCGGCCGACGTCTTCGAATTCAGCCAAGATTGTTAAAATAAGAAATTATTTATGGCACCCCATGGAAGCCCTAAGTATTATTCGTGATATAAGAAATAACCTCGGCCGACTTCGAAGACGTCGGCCGCCCCAAGTACCATGATCAATACAATAAGTCTAATCTGCTTGAAATTTATGTACAAAATAATTTCGGCCGCCCTAAGTATTGTTATACCATTAATGTCTTGTGCAACTTGTGATTTAAGAGAAAAAATAATTTGAATCAAAAAACATTTTATTGTAATAATACATAATAACGCGTATTCAATTTAAATACAATAAAAGACTAGAGTATATATTTCACAAATAGATAAATATAACGTAAGCATACAATAAAAAAATCCTAAAACGCTTAAATAGGTAACAAATATATAAAAAAATAGATATATTTTTCAAGTTAAGTAGAGTTGAAAGTGTAAGGTATATTATTGTATAAATATAAATTCAACTTGGGAGAACGCGTGTTTGGAGATGAATTAAATTTATCATATCGATCTATTTTTTTAAAATAGAAGATATTAAATCCTTATGACCTAAAAATCTATCTTGAATTTATGCCTTCCCAAGTTTACAACAAAATTTTAATAACTATTTTAAGACTTGAAAGAGTATAGTTTTATTCTTACTATGTAACAAAATATATAAGCTTTCAAGTACACAGCTCTTATTTATTTTAATCAATATCCAAATTTACTGTACGGTAACTGTTGTGAGTGAGGCACCTTCGCCACATTATCTTGAGCTGCCTCATAAAGTTTCGTAATTTACACTTCCAGTCAAAATACATCTGTGCGAAGTCCAAGTTCCTTAAGAAAAAATCCCATTGGAGTTTGAGTAAGCTTGTAATTTTCTGCTTGGTTCACCAATTTATTCTTTACACTTCTCAAACGTAAAGAAGAATGAATGAATATAGCTACAAATTCATTTAAACAAATTTCAATAAAATTATAATCAAGATTTTAAGTGATTTCAATTTCTTACCTGAGAATGGAAATAAAATACCAATAAAGAACACCACAATAGAATCAAGCATGTTCATGACAAGATAAATTCCACCTAGAACAAACAATATTGAAACAATAGGGTGGTTCTTTTTGAAATCACTCGCCATGGGGTTTTCGTTGGTGGTGTACCAGAATATGAGAATCAAAATGGTAATGGTAGCGAGACCATATACCATTTTAACAGGATGTAAAGCCCTGTATATCAAAAAAATTAATTTAATTAATATATAATAATAAAAAGAAAAATGTTATTATTACCCGATTATAGCGAATACCAAAAGAGACATGAGAAAATAATTGGATTGGTAATAGAGCAAATTATTCGTCACTCTATAACCCCATTTATCAAGATCTTTGAAGTTCGGCAATTGAAACCGGGCTGATTCCAACACAAAATCGCCCAGCGTTCGCAAAGGAGCAAATTCCATACCATTATCTTTCGTTGGCTTGAACATTTTACCAAAAATCTTCACAGCTTTCGTCTAGAAACTTCGCTATCACAAACCACACTGACCAGAATCCAGAATTAACTCACATCGCAAGAAAATCACCTTCAAGCGCCCAGTTCTTATGCAACCAACATTTCAGGAACATAAGAAATGATATCATCTATTATGAGCCGACAATCAAAATAATTACCAATCACGATTTAGCACGTCAAAAAAATGTCGTAAGCATTTATTTAATGTATTGCTAATTCATTTTTTTTTATTTATATCACCAAAATGTATCTTAATATTTTTAAAAATTAAAAGATTTTAATAATAATATTTATTTTAAAAAATTGCGCTTAATATATTTCCCCCACTTGAATGTAAAGTTGAATACTGACGAATTTCATGTGTGTCTATCTCGAGATTTGAGAGCGAGAAAGAAAACTTAACCTCAAAAGTTGTTCATGTAGTTAAAACCATAAACAAATGCCCGTGAACGCACCGGGACGCCGCTCGAGTAAACCCCTCACGGTCGTCACATGATAAAAATGATCACTTTATCGCAACGTTTGAAGAGACAACAAGAACAAAGTAATGGTGTTAATAATAGGATTTCAATAAGAGACAAGCTGCTTACTAGAGAGGCCCAAGAAATGGCTCAATTACTTCCAAGTAACTGTTCAATCACTTATGAAAACGTCAATGATTTAAGCTCTTTCTTGCTATTCGTGAAACCCACAGAGGGTTTTTGGCAGGACGGATGCTTTAAATTTTCTGTTAAAGTTACAGAGGAATATAATATGGTTGTATGTAGATAGCATTCTCTCTCTTCTCCATGTTTTTATAATTTTTTTTTAGCCACCAATAGTCAAATGTCTAACAAGACTGTGGCATCCCAATATCAATGAGACTGGAGAAGTCTGTCTATCATTATTAAGACAACATAGTGTAGATGGTTTGGGTTGGTCACCTATTCGAAGATTAAATGATGTTGTATGGGGTTTACATGCTTTATTCACTGTATGTATTTATTATTATCAAGAATTAAGTATATATCTGACTGATAATGAGAAAATCCACATTGATATCTCAAAATTGGCTGCTAAATATGTTCAGCCATTTTGATTGATTACCAAAATAATTTTTATTAAATTTCATTATGTGGGATTTCACACAGAGTCTTATAATTTACAAAATCTTAATACAAAAAAAATTATTTTTAGGATTTATTAAATTTTGATGACCCTTTAAATATAGAAGCAGCTGATATGTATAGAACAAGTAAAGAAGAATTTCATAAAAAGGTTAGCGAATATGTTAAATTATATGCGAAAGAATAGCCCCAGATCTTGGTGTTAGGAGGTTGTCCAGTTTGCCAGGGACTTTGTGTTCTTTAAAGCTGTTATTTTTTGTAATTCTAATTAGATAATTATTAATAATTTTATTATGTAAGTGAGAGTTGTTCTCTTGTGTAAAGATACTTAAAAAATTGTCTTAAAAAAAGAAAAAATAATGATAGTACAAGTGAAGCATGTATTTTCACACTAAATTTTTGCTAGGAAATTTTTTTTGAAATTGTGAATGGTGTAAATGATAATGTAGAATCTTTAGCATAGCCAAATGGGTGCAGGCGGAATTTGGGTAATCTACTTTTTGTGTATTTCGTTCGTCTTTTTTGTGGGAATACCGCCTATGCTAAATACAAATATTTCTATATACGTATATATTTGAATATATAAAACAAATTTTTAAAGCCTTTTATTGTTATGCGATACTTCGAAGCATTAAAAAAACATTCAACTACAAGTGCCTTTTGTTTTCCGTACTCATGGATCTTAAAGTTTTTAATTATTCAAATTCCCAGGATCGAATGAATGAATAGTCTATTTTTGAACTAGGCCAATTAAAATTTTATGCGAGAAAATGTTTTTCTCCTACATTGTCAAGATTAGATTTTTAACGAACTAGTCCAACTTGATAAATTTAATATTATATTTTTCATAATTATCTTGTAATTTACATATCTATTTATTTATTTTGTTATCTAAGATTAAAAAATGTGTGCAAGTGTTTTATTTAAACTCTTAAATTTACCGAGATTAAACAAATTTTATATTAAATATTTCAATCTACAAACATGATGTTTTCTTCAAGGTCCGTAAAACTTATTCTATCAAATTTTATATCTTGGGTTGAATTGGAAACAGTAATAATATAAAAGTACAATTAGCCAGTAAGAAACTTTAAAACACAAATATTTACAATTTCCTGCTTGGCTCCACGCGGATCTTGTTGTTTGTTGGCCAATTTTTACTCCCATCACATCTATAATCAGAACAACCACTTAAAGAAACTCATTTAATAGCCATTACACAGAATTACCCTATTCTGCCTGCCTACAACCAGTAAAATGCTATGAAAGTGAAGTATGAACTAAAATTAGAGGAGCTCCGAATCTCGCACTGAAATCCCATTGAAATTTGCTACAACTTTTATTCTAAATGTTTTTTTGTAGTATGCTCCGAATCCAGAATGCTTTATCATGAAAAATTGATTAATTTTGCTCGTTTTCGGCTGCTCCAAGTATCATGAACAATACAGTAAGAGTATCTAGCTTGGAATTTTTGGAAAATATAATCTCGGCCGACTTCGAAGACGTCGGCCGCTTTAAGCATTGGTCATGATACTTGGGGCGGCCGACGTCTTCGAAGTCGGCCGAGATTAATAAAATAAAAAATTATTTATGGCACTCCATGGAAGCCCTAAGTATTGTTTGTGATATAAGAAATAACCTCGGCCGACTTCGAAGACGTCGGCCGCCCCAAGTACTATGATCAATACAATAAATCTAATTTGCTTGAAATTTATGTACAAAATCATCTCGGCCGACTTGGAAGACGTCGGCCGCCCTAAGTATGGGTCATGATACTTGGGGCGGCCGACGTCTTCGAAGTCGGCCGAGGTTATTTCTTATATCACAAACAATACTTAGGGCTTCCATGGAGTGCCATAAATAATTTTTTATTTTATTAATCTCGGCCGACTTCGAAGACGTCGGCCGCACTAAATATTGTTTATGAATAATACTTAGGTTGGATTACAATACTTGATGCTTATTGTATTGTTCATGAGCAATATTCAGTGCGGCCGACGTCTTCGAATTCAGCAGAGATTAATAAAATAAGAAATTATGTATGGCACCCCATGGAAATCCTAAGTATTGTTCGTGATATAAGAAATAACCTCGGCCGACTTCGAAGACGTCGGCCGCCCCAAGTACCATGATCAATACAATAAATCTAATTTGCTTGAAATTTATGTACAAAATCATCTCGGCCGCCCTAAGTATTGGTCATGATACTTGGGGTGGCCGACGTCTTCGAAGTCGGCCAAGATTGTTAAAATAAGAAATTATTTATGGCACCCCATGGAAGCCCTAAGTATTATTCGTGATATAAGAAATAACCTCGGCCGACTTCGAAGACGTCGGCCGCCCCAAGTACCATGATCAATACAATAAGTCTAATCTGCTTGAAATTTATGTACAAAATAATCTCGGCCGCCCTAAGTATTGGTCATGATACTTGGAGTGGCCGACGTCTTCGAAGTCGGCCAAGATTGTTAAAATAAGAAATTATTTATGGCACCCCATGGAAGCCCTAAGTATTATTCGTGATATAAGAAATAACCTCGGCCGACTTCGAAGACGTCGGCCGCCCCAAGTACCATGATCAATACAATAAGTCTAATCTGCTTGAAATTTATGTACAAAATAATCTCGGCCGCCCTAAGTATTGGTCATGATACTTGGGGTGGCCGACGTCTT